GTTACACATAACATTAGGGTTCATCTTGACACAATTATCAAAGCATGGCATATAATTTCCTCTAATTCCGTCTCCAGCACTCCCCTCTCCCCCTTCTTCTACCCTTCCCTTTACTCTAATGATCTTTCTACTATTTATTTATAGTTTTTTCATTATTAATGTCCTCTGGATGTGCATGATGGTGAGATTCACTGAGATAAATTCACATATGTACATGGGAAAGTTAGGTCAGATTAATTCCACTGTTCTTCCCCATACAGCCCCTTCTCGCCTCCCAATCCCCTTCTCTACTCCACTGATCTTTTTTCTATTTTGATGAAATCCCTCCACCCTTTTTCTTTTCTTTCTTCTTCCCCACCCCCTTATTTTGGACTAACTTCCACATATCAGAGAAACAACTGACCTTTGACTTTCTTTCTTTTTTTTTATAATTTAGTTGAATAATTTCTAATGGCATTAAAGTTCTATATATACTAGTCTCCAGTTCCATTCATTTATTAGGAATTTCATTCTTCTTTATGACTAATATTAATTAATATTTTCTTTATCCATTCACCTGTTGAGAGGTATCCAGGTTGTTTCCATAGCCTGGCTATTGTGAATTGTGCTACTGTGAACATCAATATGGCTGCATCACTGTAGTATGTTGATTTTAGATCTTTTGGATGTATACCAAGGAATGGGATAGCTGGGTGACGTGGTGGTTCCATTCCTAGGTTTTTTGTCTTTTGCTTTTGGGACTGGGGATTGAAACGGGGGTGTTTAACCATTTAGCCACATCCCAAGCCCTATTTATTTATTTGTTTATTTATTTTTATTTTGAGACAGGGTCTCATTAAGTTGCTTAATCAAGAATTACCTATGAGACACATTATTATTGTGGACCTCATTAAGTTACTGAGGCTGGCTTTGAATCTGTGACCCTCCTGTCTCAGCCTCCCAAGTTGCTGGGACCATTCCTAGTTTTTCAAGGAATCTCCAAACTGCTTTCCAGAATGGATACTCGAACCTGTAGTCCCACCAACAATATAAGAGCATATCTTTCCTCTACATTCTCTGAAACACTTATTTTATTTGTATTCTTTATAATTGCCATCCTGACTAGAGTGAGATTAAGTCTCAAGGTAGTTTTGATTTGCATTTCCCTAATTGCTAGAGATGTTGAACATTTTTTCCATATATTTGTGGGCCTTTTGTATTTCTTCTTTTGAAAAGTGTCTATTTAGTTCTTTTGCCCATTTGTTGATTGGATTATTTGATGGGGTGTGTGTGCATGTGCGCGGACACACACAGCATGCACAGCTTTTTGAGTTCTTTACCTATTATGCATATTAATGCCCTATCTGAGGAACAGGTGGCAAAGATCTTCTCCCATTCTCTAGGCTCTCTCTGCACATTCTTAGCTGTTGCCTTTGCTGTGCAGAAGATTTTAATCTGATGCTGTCCCACTTACTGACTTTTGGTTTTACTTCTTGCACTTTAGGAGTCTTGTTAAGGAAGTCGGTTCCTGTGCTAACATGCTGGAGTGCTGGCCTTACGTTTTCTTCCAGCAATTGCAGAGTTTCCAGTACGATTCTTAGGCCTTTGATCTACTTTGGGCTGACTTTCATGACAGTGAGAAATGTGGGTCAAGTTTCATTCTCCTATATGGAGATCCGGCTTTTCCAGCAGCATCATTTCTCCAACATGTGCTTTAGGCACCTGTGTCTAGTATCAGATAATTGTACTTCTGCGGGTTTATCTCTGTGTCTTCTCGTCCATTGGCCTTCATGTCTTTTTTGGCACCAGTATTATGTTGTTTTTGTTACTAAAGCCCCATAGTATAATTTGAGGTCCTGTATTATTGAGGCCACCTGCAGCAGTCTTTTTGTTCAGAAGTGCTTTGGCTATTCTGGCTCTTTTATTTTTCCAAATGAATTTTAGAACGGCTTTTTCTAGTTCTGTGAAGAATGTCATTGGTATTTTCCTTGGGATAGCATTGATTTCTATGTAATTCTTTTGGTAGTGTGGCCATTTTGACCATATTAATTCCGCCTATCCAAAAACATGGGAGGTCTTTTCATCTTCTAACACCTTCTTCGATTTCTTTATTCTTCAGTATTCTATAGTCTTCATTGTAGAGGGCCTTCACCTCTTTCATTAGATTAATTCCCGCGCGCACGCGCGCGTGTGTTTGTGTGTGTGTGTGTGTGTGTGTGTGTTTAAGGTTATTGTGAATGGGATAGTTTTCCTAATTTCTTTTTCAGCAGGCTCATTGTTGGAGTATAAGTAAGTGATGTATGTTGATCTTACATCCTGTTACTTTTCTAAATTTGTTTATGGCACTAGAAGTTACATGACATAATTTAAAGCCGTGTTCTTCAAAGCACCGGTTGTGAACAAGTCAGTAGGTGGCAAGGTGCAACAGAAGCCCTTCATCAGAAGTTGAATGGGGGTGGCACTCCAGTGGTACAATTGATTCTCACAAAGTATTATAAGAAGTTACACAGGGTCCCCCTGCTTTCCTTTCACCCTAAGTTCTCACAGAGCCTCCAAGGTACAACTTTGCATTACTTTCCTCCAAGAAAAAACATAGCAGTTTCCAAACTAATCCAACTGTGGAATGTTTTATTAAAGAATCATCTTGGCCTCACAGAGCTGCCAGTCCATGGAACACACTGAGATGGAGAGAAGCCAGTTCTCCCTAAAGATAGGAAATGAGTGGGCGAACATGGACTAGTCAAGACAGCGCCACATCCACTTATTCTGCACCCCCAGAATGCAATGCCCCCCACAGCTGGAGCACTGTGAAGGGTCCTGGCACCTCTATGTTACAACTGAGAAACAGGGAGATTGATCATGGGCCCATTCACACAGATGAGTTAAGATAGAGCTAGCACTGGAGCACAGTGACTTTAGAAGCAAAAAGAATTCAAGCTCCCAGCAAAATGGCCAGAGGTTCCTCTTAGGAAGAACAGCCAAAAATAGAACATTTAAAAACTTCATTAAATCCATGAAAACATAGTGGTACATCACCAAATTTAGCAGGTAGACCATTACATTTGGCTATTCCTCAGGGGAAAGGGAGGGCGAGGGCAATTCTTAGCAAAACCAGTAAAGCTGAATTTAAAATACGGTACACACAAGAAGTCTTTCCCAGTCAAACACTGGGAGATGTCATCATCCGATTAAAGTGGAAATTGGGAGAATGTAGCATATGAAAAAATGTTACGAATTTCTTTTCATCCTTGAAAACAAAAGATATGTGATATCTTTAATTTGAATGAAAATTTAAGTGTGGAGCTATTAGACACATTTTTAAATATTTTTGTAAAAAAAGAAGTAAATCTATAACTAAAACAAAGTGTTAACATAGTATTTCAGACAAGTCTGATTCTAATCACAAATGTCCAGACACTAAGGTGATCACACACACACAACTTTCCTATTTTAGTAGATCACTGGGTTAATAGGAGACCAGGGAAGATTAATGCCTACAGATATAAAAGTGCCTAAAGAGGGAGGGTACTGAAAATATTAAGCCATTTGATTTTCTGCTTTTGGGCATTCCCTAACACTGAGGAGGGATGAATCTCAATGACAGAATAATCTAATTGTACTGACTCCTACTCCCAAATTGCTGAAGGAGAAATGAGAAGTAGTTGTGCTGCTTTTAATTAGGAACTAAAATCTATTGAAACAATAATATGTCAGCGATGGTTATTTACAAATAAGAAGTATAAACTTTGCCTGGTATTCTTCACCCAATGCTGACGCACAAACTTTAATTCTGCCCTGAAACCTCACAGCAAAAACTCAATTCCATATCCTGCTTGCAAACATCAGTTACCCTCTGAGAAAATTTCCATCATGAATTCTCACCAAATGTTGCTTCTGACTCATTGTTTCAAGGATTAGCCAGGGTCAGAAACATGTGCGAGAAAGAGAAATAATAGTTTCTGAAGGACAGTAGTCCGAAACAAAGCAAGACCAAAGGAAACGGAAGTTGCTCTAGATACTTGGTCATTTCCTCACTTCCTACAAAGCAACACACACAGGCAAGATGAGGAAGGAGAAGCAATGTCAATACAAGTTTCGGTGAAGCCTGCTCCTGACCACCCGACTGGAAACCACCATATGCCCTCAGACCCCACACGCTTGCCAGACTCTACATTTTCCCTAAATCCTTTTTCCTCAATACTAGATAACTTACCTGCTTATTATGACATTTGTTCGTGGTATAACTTTCTTTGATAGATTATAAGCTCCTAAGAACAAAAATCCATTCCAGGTTTTGTTTCTCTAATAAAATCCTGGCCCCTGAAATAGTTCCTGGGACACAGTTACTTTTCAACAGAACTGTGCTGAATGAACAAACAGTGTAAGAATATTCTCTGCCATCTTTGTATTCTGCAGGAACTCAGCAGTCTGTCTCCTATCTTTATACCTTAACCAACTAACCTTCAAGGAAACTTGTAATAAAGATCACAGGCATTAATACCTGGTGTCACCCTAAAAGAGAGAAGCTCACCTCAGGAAGATTTCTGGAGTTCTCTCCTGTGGAACAAGAAGATTCAGAATACCATAGAAAGAAAGGAAAGAAGACAAAGTAAAACAATAGTATATCATGTCTTTGTAGGAGGTGAGCAAGGCTATGAAAGAAAATTCAGTAAATTGCTACCTGATTCTCTATCATTCAAAACCTAGTGAGCTTCTTAGAGATATTAAGTGTTTTCTATTTTGTTCCTTAACTAGTATCTTAAGAACACACTGTACTTATTCAATCAATAATTAAATTTCATATACACATCATATTTACTAAAAAAAAAAAAAACCATTAAACATTGGATTTACCATGTGAGCTGCTATTTGGAAAGTGAAGCAAATGTGACGTTGTTTTCCAAAGCAAGATCATATTGGAGCAAGCTTTGGCTTCTCAAAGAGCCACAGAAATGTATCCTACTCTCACAATTTTTCCCTTTGTCCTTTTTCTCATAATGAAAGCATCAAGGAAAGCTTACAGCTGTGCAAAAGATGCACTGGCACTCCTGGAGTGTGGTCATCTTGTCCAGAGGCTGTTCGCACAAGCACAGTTTGCAAGTGACGAGGGGGGCCGGAGCAAGGTCTCCAGGTGTGGGGTTTTCGGCAGTCATGGTGAGGTAGTGGAGCCTACCAACTGAGCCCATCAGCCTGTCTTCAGCCTTCTTCTGTCTCCTCAATCCCTGCAGAGAGGTCCAAAGCAGAAAATATTATATCCATTGATACCACTATTGCTTCACCAACACATGTGGGGACCAGATGAGCACATGCTCATCCTCCATGATCTCTAAGAGTACAGCTAATACATTTCTGAGAAGCCTGGGCTGGAGAGCTTGCTATCTTGGCAAGGTATTTATTCCTGGAGTCCTGAAATTTAAGCTGACCTCACCTCACTGTCCCAACGCACAGCATGCCAGCTGTGGGAATTAAAAAGGCCACTGTGGCAGGGGCCTGGGGCGATGGTGGGCAAGGGCACCAAGTTTGAGCTGGACAGCATGAATAAGTTTTGGAGATCTACTATACAGTCTGGGAATTATAGTTAACAATAATGTATCATAAACTTTAAAATTGCTGAGTAGAATTAAATGTTCTTATATGTGAGGCAATAATATGCTAATTATCTTTTTTTTTTTAATTTGTTTTTATGTGGTACTGAGGATTGAACCCAGTGCCTCTCACATGCTAGGCAAGGGCTCGACCTCTGAGCTACAACCTCAGCCCAACACAATGCTAATGATCTTGATTCACTCATTTCACATGTACACACGGTATATCAGAATACCACACTGTCCACTACAAAGGGACCCCATTTATATTTGTCACATAGAGCCTAATAAAGCTGGAGGGGAGGGAGGGAAGTGCCACCATTAGTAAATATGCCATTTAGGAGTTGCATCACTGCAACCAGTTCAACAGGTTCACAAAAACATTCTAAATAGGTGTTGCTCAAAAAAGTTAAAGAATTACCATAATATCCAGCAAGTTCACTTCTTGGTCTATACCCAAAAGGACAGAAAGCTGGGTCTCAAAGAGATATTTGTACATCTATTCTATTATTCACAACAGCCAAAAGGGTAAACCAACTCCAGTGTCCATCAACGGATAAGTGAACAAAATATGGTATTTACATACAAAGAAATATTATTCTACCTTAAAAAGAGATGGATTTCTAACATGCTATAATATGGGTGAACCTTGAAGATATTACGCTAAGTGAAATAAGCTAGACAGAAAATGGTAAATACTTTCATTGCACTTAAAAGCAGTACCTAAAGTTGTCAAAGTCATAGCAATAAAAAAAAGTAACTGGAGTTACCAGATGGTGAGAGGGGGAAATGAAGAATTTTTGTTTAATGGGTGCAGAGTTTCTGCATGGGATGCTGAAAAGGTTCTAGAAGTGGATAGTGGTAATAGCTACACAACCCTTAAGGGATTTAGCACCACTGAATTTAGGTTTAAAATGATTGAAATGTTAAGTTTTTATTATGATAAAGATGTTATGAACATTTGTACACCAAAAAAAGTTTTACAGATATTTTCAAAATGTTTAGATATTTTCAAGCAGTTCATTGTATGCCTTCACATATATTATTTCATTTAATCTCTTACAACCAGGATGATTATTCTATTCATTTTATAGATGAATTGAGACATTGAAAAGTTATCAGCCAAAGTTCTCAGAGCTTATACATGGCAGAGCAACTGTGCCAATCAAGGCTGTCTGAAATATAAACATGTTTCTTGTCACATATGTAAGATATTACTCCTTAGTTTGTGAGTTACATGCCCAGAGGTTGTGAAATCAAAGTTACAAAACATGTAAAAACAAATATGTGGAGGTGTTTTGGTACTGGGAATGGAACCCAGGGCCTTGCACATGCTAAGCACATGCTCTACCACTGAGCTACACCCCCACCCCTGAAAATATGTTTATGACACAAAAACCTTTTCTGTAGCAAAAACTCATTTTTTTTAAAGGAATTCTAAGCATTTCAATAGGATTAAATGTGACCCATTCAATTGTGACCCAATGAGATACAGGAAAGAAGACACATATTTCATTTCTTTTGAGATATGAAAATCCAAAATGGTTGTTCAAAAAAGAAACAATTTATGTTCCTGGTATCATAACATCAATGCCCTAATGTGATGGTTTTGAAACATTTTTCAATCAATGGAATTTTATAAAAACAAAAATCTTCACCAAGCTACCACTGTATAATAGAGATTAAGTAGTGCTGGTTCACAGTGGGAGACCCAGGGCCAGTCCCTCTCACAGCCTCTGTGGTGCCATTACACAGACCTAAGACCACACCACGCACAGTCAGAAAAACGGCACTTTGGGTTTTTCACATTGGGCAAACTCAACAGTGAATGTTTTAAAAAAAATGAATGACACATAGCCGGCATGTCATTTTTAAAAAAAGAATACTGAACAAAAAATAATTTCACCATTGATTCAAGCTCTTCACACAGTAAACAGGAGAATCCAAAGTCCTCCCAGTGAATTTCCCCATAGCTGTGAACAGTTACGGAGTTTCCTCTTGTTTCCCATTTATGTCTTCAGATTCACCAGTCTCCTGTAACCCCAGCTATTTGGGAGGCTGGAGCAGGAGAATTTCCAAGTTCATTGCCAGCCTAAGCGACTTAGAGAGACCCTGTCTCAAAAGAAGAAGAAAAATATTATAAAGGAGACTGGCATGGTGGTGACCCCTATAATCCAGCGACCCAGGAGGCTGAGGCAGGATGATGGCAAGTTCAAGGTCAGCCTCAGCAATTTATTTGTTTTTTAAAAATATTTTTTTAGTTGTAGATGGACTCAATACCTTGATTTTATTTGTATGTGGTGCTGAAGATCGAACCCGGTACTGAGGATCGAACCTGGTACTGAGGATCGAACCTGAGGCGAGCGCTCTACCACTGAGCTACAACCCCAGCCCAGCCTCAGCAATTTAGCAAGGCCCTACCCAATTTAGAAAGATCCTGTCTCAAAATAAAAAAAAATAAAAAGGCCTGGGGTTGTGGCTGATTACATGATTAAGCAACCCTGGTTTCAATTCCTGGCACCAAAAAAAAAAAAAAAAGTTTTAAAAAGTTTTGAGGGTGTAGCTCAGTGGTGGAGCACCCCTGGGTTTATTTCCCAGAACTTGGGGGAAAAAAAAAAAAAACTCCACCAGTCTCACCCTCACAACCCAAACTACCTCATAAATGACACAAAGCCCAGTGCATGTGTCCACAGGAGCACTGAGGACACACTCCGAGCTTTACCTGCCCCTCTGCCCCTATCACCAGCCACACCTCGATGGAGCATGGGCATCTCACTCCCATTCCTCTCCATGTTTTCAGAAAAGTCTTCCAGAGATGCCAACTCACTCCCTGGTCTACTGGCTTGCTCCACTTGTTCTTTCTCATGCCCCACATTTTTATCTAAGAAAGTGATTTGAATTACACACCTACCACTTGGATTTAAAAGGTAACAATTATAATCATTTTTACAGGTATTACAGATGTAACTGTGATTCTCATTGGGTGTTAAGAACCCCCTGGGTAAAGAATTTTGGCAGAGAATGTAGGGGCGTGCTGGAAAGAAGAGAAATCTGGCAGCTGCCTTTAGGTTTAAACTTTCTAAGATCGGTGGCAGTTTTCAGTGGCTTACACATCCCCGGCCATACAGCAGGACAGATTGGCCAGGCCACCTGAGAAAGGAAGCCACCCAACCCATCTGATCTCACGCTAAACTACCAGGAAAAGAGAACCAGCAACTCTACCTGCTCCAAGGGGGTCTTGCTCTATATAAAGTGTTCATCATATGAGAAGCAAGGGCCATCAGATAGGAAAAGAGCAGGAAAGTCACTTTCCCCCTCACGTGTTTTCATTAGAATCATCAAAGAAAGGACGGCCTCAGAAGCCGTGCAGGAAGCACAGGATGGATAAGGAATTTTCATCTCTGCTGCCAGCCTGAAAAAGCAATCTGCTCCCCAAACGCAGAGGGTGAGGAGCCAGCGTTCAGGGTATTTTTAACTAGTGTATTTTATGCCCGTTTTACTACCCAGAATCAAAACATTATCTCTTGGCACACACAAAAAAAAGATAATGTAACTGGAAAGGACAGTGTTTTATCAGAATGCTAATCTAGTTATTTAGAAATATTTACACCACTCTGCAAAAACCCTGAAAATTTGGATTAAACTCACGAAGCACAAACAGACTAAGAGAAATAGAAAACCATTGGAATGAGTCAACTAAACACTATTGATGTAAGAGAATGTATGCAAAACTCCACTGATCCACGTGCAGGCCCTAATTCCAGACGATACTCTGAAAGTCTAAGGGTGACTTGAGAACAAGGAACAAGAAGGAATAGGAGACACCTGAATATTCTCAAATTTTTATATGCCCTTACAAGACCCTGAATTGTCCTATGAAGCAGCTGGGAGAGCAGATGTGGATGCAGACCCTCGGAGGGGGCTGGCAGAGGGGGTGGATTCCAGGAAGGGTAAGTGGTGGGAGGTAAGGCTGAGGGCCACCTGTGTCACAGGGAGATTCTCAGGAAGTCAGTGCTCTAGGAGAAAAGGAAGAGGTAGCAATCCAAAGACCCATCACTGCCTTGTTCGGAAAGCTCTCCCAACTCCAGCTAAGAATCGCGCTCCAGACAGCAGCTACCATGCAACACAATCAACACATCAGTTCCAGGAACCCCTTCAGATGCCAAAAGCCACAGATGCTCAACTTCCTTACATGAAGTAGCATAGTATTTGCATATAACCTCCAAGCATTCTCCCATGTAGTTTAAGTCGTCTCTAGAGTACGTATCAATATGAGGGAAATGCTGTATAAGATGTTAATTGTTGAGAAAATAATTACAAGAAAAATACCTGTATGTGCTCAGTACAGACTCAGTTTTTTTTTTCCTGACTATCTCTGATCCACACCTGGGTGCATCCTCAGATTGAACAGGTGCGGAACGTGCGGATACAGAGATCAAGTGTGCTGCATTGACCTTGGCACTTCTACCCAATAGAGAGCTTTATTTAGCCACTGGTTCATGTTCTTAGCAGAAGCTATTGGGAACTGAAATGGTTCTGGCTGTTAGTGAAGGGCTGACCAGCGTCAGTCATTAGCCGTTTGCTGGAATTCCACCCCAATACATCCTGGGGTGCAAAGAGGACCCCTGGCTAGAAGC